CTTCAGGGAGCCACTGCCTCCCGTCCAAAGGACGGCCCCTCCGTGTGAAGCTCCGGCCCGGCCGAGGGGCCGTTTCCCAGGAAGATCGCCAGGGCCCTGGCCAGCTGGATGAGCTTCCGCTTGGAACTTCCGAAGGACGACCTGATCCGAGGTGGGGAGGGAGTCGATAGGGATTTTTGTTTTGGGCTAGGGACTTGTCACTTCCCAAAAACACATGGGAAGTGGAGCATGGCCCCGAAAGGAATGGATGGTTTTCCCTCTACTTTCCGCCCTTTTTTGTTTCGTTCTTCTTTTGGCACTTCCGACTGATTCCGCTCCTGGCCTACATCCGAAAAGAAGGTAGGAGTTGCACCTGTCCTATCACCCACCCCAACCAATTTCTTTTCGGGTACCCCCTGGCAGAGAGTGGATGAACACACACTCAAACCTGCATGCAGTGAGGACCCTGAGATCAGCGAGGAGGGCTCATTAAGGCCCCTGAAAATCTTGAGACTTTGGAGCCTTGGTGAAAGACACCGCCATAGAAACCAACCGCCTCAAATTCGGCTGGACGTCTTGAGCTGGGGAGGCGGAGACCATGTGATTCTGCGACATTTGAAGGACTCGATGTGTTCCTTGGCACTGGGAGCCCGTCGGTAGACAGATCTCCGGTACTTGGATTTCTCCTTCCAACACGGAGACAAGTGAAGAAGGCCGACTGGCGTGAGAAGTTTACGGCCTTCCAAGCTGTCGGAACAAACGCCGTCGGAACATGCCTCGTAGATCCATGTGACTGGAGCGACTGCAGAGTTGTACGACACTGGATCCACATACCCTTTGACAGGGTCTGGAGACACTTTTGTGTAGCCTTGGAGGGTCCAAGTCATTATGTATACTCTGTTCTGCAGGGCTTTGATCTGCTTTGTTCTGGGTCATCAGAGGTACTTTTTGTCACCCTGCGGATGAAGATAAACAAAACAACATTAGCAGTGGTGCATCAGATCTTGTCCATCATCTATGGATGGACGGAACTCTACCATGTCAGATTTCTTCAGATACCCTATCCACTGCAAAGTAATGTCGACTTAGGACCTAGCATCAAGTATGAGCCCTCCATGATCAGTTTGGCCCACCAGCTTCTGCACATTTTCTTGCAAGAACCAATCTTTGGGATCTCTCCTCATGAAGAGATTGATCACTTTTCCCGATTAATTGGGGTGTGTTTCCACTATTTGGGTCCCAGACCTTCTGATGTTCTGGTGGGATTAGTGATCCTGAGTCGACATTACCAAGAAGGAATATGATCAGGAATAGATCAAGGCCTTTTTTTCAAATCATCACACCCAACAGCTGGCCCCACCATTTCCCACACTCACTCCTTACCACTACTGTCCCCTGTCCATACGCCACTAGATCGCGAAAAACCCTTAGCTGCAAAAACGCCCAATCACCCCACTCTCCACCTCGTTTGCGGTCCCAGGTCGTTTGGAGCTCAACCCACAAGACCAGCACTTGGGCCCCGCCAAGACGCATCCCACAGCCTTCCGTCTGGAGATCGACACTGGCCACAAGCGGAACGGCAGTTCCGGGCGAGCACCCAGTCCCAACCACCTCCGCACCTCGTCTCCGCATCTCGAAACGGACTGAAAGGAGACGTTCTTTTGTCAGGCCGAAGTGTTCACGGAACAACCTGGAGTCTTTTCTTGGTGTCAGAGGAATGAACCCTTATGTGAGCTCCAACCACATCCGAAAAGAAGGTGGCTGTGGTGGGTTTGGGGAGTCTAACTACCTTCTCAGGATGTGGTTGGAGCCCCAGGTAAAAGTCCAAGATGTCACCAGGTTGGGCATAATCGAATCTGGTGTGGTCGTTGTGTACCTGATGTACCCGGACTCACAGTGGGTTGGTAGCGGTTGACTTCACGAGGATGAGGACTTCACGATTAAAAAGGCCAAAATCAACAGTATTTCGGTGGAGGAGCTGATGAACATGTGATTTGATATGATTTGATCCAATCTGTAACAGGTCTCTTTTGGCAAACCCTAACTGATGCTCACCCACATTTTGTGTGTATATACGTAATTTTGCAACCACCCCAAAAGACAGACCATCAAGGGCTTGGTTTAGTCAGCAAACCCACTCAGCTGTCACTTTCATTAATGGGAGGTGAACAAACGACGGAGTCGATGGACAACAAGACCGACACCAAATAGAAAAAAGTCCTTCGCACTGGATTTAGAAAAGAGGTTGTTCTAAGTTCTACTGTTTTACTTAAAAGGGGCAACACATGGATAGAAACATAGTATTGGAACTTCAGTTTGGCGCCAATGAGCTCTTCCGGATGGGCTCAAGACTCAAGTTCTTGTATACCTGAACAATCCAAAGTACCTTAGAAGATGGGACATGTTCCGAGGTACGAACTGAGACTCCGGGTATGTTCTTGCCAGAACCCTTCCTCCGAGGCTCTGGTGACAGCTTCTTCCTTCGTTCCCCCAGCGGCGCTCACCTGGGACCCGTGAACCACTGCTTCGACGCCGCCCGCGAGTCCCTGCGCTTCGCGCCGGCGCGGCGCTTGACGGTGCGCAAGCTGAGTCCTTACCGAGCACCTTGCTACGGCACCGAACGGCGGGGCATGGCACACCGTGACCCGGTGGGATGTAGCTTCAAGAAATACTCCAGGGTTTACCCTTACATATCTTACAGGTGCCCCAAAAAAGAGGAATCTATAGGGTAACCCCCATAAGGTGACCCGTGGGAAGGACCGTCTCCACTCGTGCATGCTCCAAAAACGTGGAGACGTGAAAAGTGGATGCTCCGCGGTCGAAGAAAGATCCGAAGGGGACGCAACATGACCCAACTATCGATATCAATGGTCCTGCACCAGGACCCCTAAGGGGTGTCAAGTAATTATAGCTCCTTAGAGGTTAAAGGGTGTCCTTTAGCCACCCCTTGTGGGTCCTGGCACTCGTTTCTGTTCTTACCGTCTTTGAGCAACCAGTTCCCCCCCCAAATGTGTTGCTGTTTACCCTTTGGAGATGACAAGTGCTTGCTTAGGTTGGCTGATTGCCTTTGAGTGTGGGGGTGTGAGAATAGCTTTAATTGTGTCATTTTTCTTCAGCAAGCTTGATGTTTGTCCGAGAAAGATAAGACAGATCCGATACAATGATGAAAGGGATTTCCTTGGCATCGCTGGGCAAGGCTGGCATGGTACTCATGTTGAATTCTGACGAATTCTGAACACATACCTGCATCTTCATTGGGCGAACATATGTGCAATTGATATTGGAGGAGATTTCCGTGTACTCTAAAGAAATCTGTGCACATGAAAACAATCTTGTGCAATTCTGTGAGCATGGTCCTGTCTTGAAACACACAAGAAGGCCCTGCTTGTCACTTGCACCGGAGCCTGCGCTTCCACCTCAAACTCCGGATCTCCCATGTCATTTTGATTCGGATCCGGTCTAGCACTCTGTGGCTTGCAGTTCTTGAACTCACTCTTATCCTGCTAACATGTCCCACCACAGATTCATAAGCGTCGTAACTGTAGGCTAGTGCACGGGGCAAGATGTGTTTTGGACGGGAAAGACGTATATAGGACTCATAGGACGGGAAAAGACGATTTGACAAGCTCTATATCTCTTGAGGGAGCAGCGGATGCCACTCCTCTGGGATGGACACACCCTTCGACCTAAGGTATCTCAATACTTCTGACTTAGCTGACCGTACGACAGGCTTTGGAAGTGGGAAAATGCCACCCAATGGAGCCAAAATGGCTGCAATCAGAAAACGTGCATTTTAACTGACTTTGTGTTTTATCCAGAAAGACGTGTAGTGCACAGGAACTTCTGAATGCACCATGCACATCACACCATGGAACATCTCCTACAGATCATGTGGACACCGCAGGAGAACTAGGACCCCCCAGGCTGCGAAGTAACGCCTTCTTTTGGCTGTTGAAGATCCCACCACACTTGGACCCTGGGAACCCGGCCGGAACCCGCCGCGTGTTCTTCATGTTTTCCACGTCTCTTGCACCCCATGTCATCTCCATCGGGACATATCTACAAATATCTCAAACTCGCCACATGGCCACCTGGTGCCTGTTTTCCTCAGGAAAACACCAAAGGCGATTTCCTGTGCTTCGGAGATCACCTGCAACTGCCACTTGGCCGAGGCTTCGCTCGTTCGCTGGACCGGTCCCGGTCTGCGGGGTCGACGGAGACGGAGACGTCGGTCGGTTCGATGGTGGACTTGGACCAGATTTGAATCTTGGCACTGAATGTGCACATGTGTTATAAGTGTAATGATGTGGTTGACCAGAAACAAAGACGCATCGTGTTCATGTTTGTGTCAAGACTTTTTCGTCCCAGACCAGACCCATTCAGTAGCAATATAAAGACATGTCCCCAAGAAAGTCTTTAAAGGTTGTGCTCTTTTATGAAGAGGTATTTGTGTGTATCCTTCTTTGAAGGCACAACCGCCCCAACAATCCAAATGATCACATTTCCCGCACTGGGCGCGATGTCCCAAGTCCCAGGTTTTCCACCAGCCAAACCACGGAGTCCAATGCGAAAAGCTGCTCGTCGTGTGAGTCTGGGGTGTGGCTGACGCGGAGGGGGTGGCCAGATGACCTCCGAACTGCACGAGGTTTTTGACAACTTATCCGGGATACATCTTTGGACACCCCTTGAGTCGATTGAACGGACATATCTTGATGAAGCCAAGGTATTCATCTCATTTCACCTTCATACCCATTTTGCATCGTCAAACTCAAACCTAGCCCTCCACTCGCGTTGCCATGTCTTCCATGGGTGCGACCAAAGGTTGGCAGTACCTGGACATAGGTGAAGTCACCAAATCAAGACGTAAGTGGCGTGGAACTCAAACTCGGAGAGGTTGTCAGTCTGAAAAATTGAAAAAAGTATAAACATTCCAATACTGCGCCAAGTCCTAAACAGAAGTCTCTAATCCACTCAAGTCCTTCAGGGCGCCTGTTGATGGAGCTTTGGAACGTATCCCGTCCTTCACCCATCCCGAAGCCATCCCAAACCCAACACGGTTGGCCGTTCTACGGAGCGGAGCGGCGCGGCTCTGCAACGAGGAGCTTTGTCCGTGAGATTCGAGCCAGAGCTCGTGCAGAGTGAGCTCGAGATCGAACTCAAAGATGTGGTGCCATGATTTCTTCGACCGCGCGCACTGCGCGCGCGTGCATCGCGCGTGGATGTTGTGCGGAGGTGGGCAGAGTTCCCAATGGAGAGGTATAATTATGATATGGTTATAAGACTTCACAAGACCGGCCTCCCCGTCCGTGGTGTTTTGTTTTCAATCATGCTAAAACCTTTGATGGTGGAGTCTTGATTTCAACTGGGGATTTTTCATGTCCAGCTTAAAGCAACGATGCATGGCTTTTCGGGGGGCCACTAGCTCGGCTACCGTACGTGCGCAGTGTCAAGCAACAACGACGTACAAAGTTTTACAATTCAGCCAGAGCAATGCATGCAAATGCATGGGATAGTGATATAAATTCCTATGGATCCACATACCTTCTGAGAAGGTGATTGGATATCTGTATGCTGGCTTGGAGGCTCCAAGTACCTTCCGAGAAGGTTTGTAGATCCCTAGGGATACATCACAAATTCCAAGAACTCCCCTCGTCAAAGCATCAGCAAATTCCAGCCCTCCCAGCCACTGTAAGTGTAATGAGCAAAACGAGTAGTTCCATACGCAAAGAAATCGGTGGCTCCTTACGACCGTTTTTGATCACATGTCACATGTGTTCTTTAAAGTGCCCACTCCTTGGTGTCCCTAGGGTCCCTAAGTGATCGACAGCCCCAAGTGACCGAACCAGGGGATCAAGTTCAGTCACTTAAGATGGTTGTTATTTTTGTATGTGTTCGTCTTAATGTTGAGGGTTGTCAAGGGTGTTTAGTTCTTTGCTACTCTACCTTGCAGGTGTGTTGTTTCTTTCTGAAAGGGGACCTGGAGCGCATTACCGGCCCGGCCGCGGCTTTGAGGTGCGGAAGGTCATCGACCAGGACCTGTTGATCGATGAATTGGGCCAGCTTCGTGTCAAGGACGTGTGCCGCGTGCGCGGCCGCCTGATCGGCGGCGGAAGCTGCCGAAGCGGCGCAAGCACGTCGTCGGAGTGGAAGAGCCGCTGTGCGAAGTTGACGGGCAACTGGGCGATTGATTGCGAAAGTTTGGTCTCCAATCCCATCGTGTAGGCTTCAAAACATGAAGAGATTGTGAATTTACATGAATGTACCTTTTGGATTGTTTAATCTTGTTTGTAGAAAATAGGACTTCTACAGGCATATCCAGAGAGGAATGAGCAGATGGGAACCAGGAATGACCTGTAGATCTGTGGAGCTCCGTGGAGCTCTGGGAAATTCCGATGAAAGGCTTTTCGCTGAAGACAGGCCACTTGATTGATTTATACGACTCAAAGTAGTCGCTTGGAGCCAGCAAAACCGAGGAAGACGATCAGATCAGAGCAGGCACTAGAGCTGCAGTGTTTACAACGCAAAAAACAAAAAAAAACATGAAACGATCGATAGGGAATTTGTGTTCATCAAACAAAGAAAGGCTTGGAACAGACATGTCACAGTCACAGTGCTTCCAAACACAAGCATCCTAGAGCCACGAAACACGAGTTCTGTGTTCTGTGATCAAGTTTGTGCGATATGGCCCAGGATACTCAAACCTTATTAACATCCACAGCGAGTGCAAGGGTTCATGAACGTATGAACGTGTGCGGACAAGTTGTTGAGATACTTTTGCTGAGGCTCTCTTGTACTGGAGCCGGTTGCCACTCCGAGTCTAAAGTCGAGGTCGAGGTTTCATGGACTTAAAGGATCCTATTTAGTCATGTTAGTCTATTAAGACATGCTTCATCATTATCATTCAGTGGTTTTGTTCTCAACATGAGTCATGAGACTCTTCCCACCACCTCGGTTGATTCTGGCATTCTGGAACCTCCCAGCTGAGTCAATCGGGTACATGTCTCAGACGTCTCCATGTCTCATGTCGACACTTGGATGCTCTTGGAGTGGTCACTGGGATCCTCGAAGTCTTTTAACAGATCCACGATCTCGGTGGACAAACGAGCTACGAAGAAAGAAACGCGGATGAAATGAGAAGTTGAGCCGTGTCATCGATGTCGTGGATTTACGTGTGGGGTTGTGGGGTTGTGTGGCGACGGATGGATCAAACAAATAGTACCAGTACCAGCGGTTCTTGGAAGCCTGACGTGACGGCCATGTGGGATGGTGCTTGGGATGAAGCTCCAGGATGTCCATGGTCCCCGGACTGCCTTGAATTGGATGTCGTAGAAGAAAAAGATGAAACAACCGGAATCCCTAGGGATCCACATACCTTCTCAGATGGTTGGAGCCTCCTGGCGCCTGCACAAAGAGTATCCAATCACCGTACCTCAGGTTCGGTATGTGGATCCATAGGGTATAAAATCCATGAAAACATGACCTGTTTGGTCCTGTGATTTGGACGAACGTTTTTGGCGCTCGAAACGTACCGTTTTGGCGCGGCGGAACCCGGGCAAACGAGACGTATCCATATATGACCGAGCTCCATAGCGGCACCGAAATGAAGCCGGCGATCACGGCAAATGAAGCGAACCAGACGTATGTTACGATCATTTGTTTACGCCAATGACTGGACAAACATCTTTGGAACCCCTCGTTGATTCTGATTGTTGATGAGCAAGTAGTTGTAAATTGACCTCATCGCAGGTCATTCGCCGGCCGCGGCAGCTGCTGCTACTCTTGGCACGCGAGGATTTGAAGGCGGAGCTGCTACTCGGAGCTGCTACGGGTGGACGCGTGGGACGGAGTGGACGGACCCCTGGATCGGAAATCCCACGAGATGGAGATTGACAAGGGAGATGGGAAATTCATGGAAATCCAACAAATCTGAGTTATAATATACATCAGTTATAAGTCAACATAGTCAACCTCCCATCACGTCCCCTCACAGGTTTTTTAGCGGATGATCTCTAGAGAAAGCTACTGTCTAGTTTTTGACGCGTCGCAGACTCGACCATTCACAGGTAGCATGTTGCATGCCAGATTTGGGATTATGGAAATCATGACCAACTATCAGTGCGGACATCCTGTAAAACAACTCTCTCTGACTGATGGCGCTGCTGTGCTCTGCGCAAGCAGAGCAGCAGCGACGACATTAAAAAACATGTCGACCAACCCCCGAAAGCTGGCGACCGACCCGCGCTTGCAGCTGCGTCCGTGCCTGGTCTAAGGTTCATTCAGATCCCAGCGTCCTTTCCCTTGAGGCCACCCGGAAGACCCCGGGAAGTCAGAGAGAATGAGAGGAAGAACCGAGGAAAAACATGCACCACACCGCGGAATCGGAAGTTTCTTTGTGAAACAAACATGCATGGTTAAGCCGGTGAAGATGTGAAGCCCTTCCAACATTTTGGAACCACATCCGAAAAGAAGGTGGGGACAGACCCCTTTGAATCCATCCCAACCACCTTCTTTTTGGATGTGGAGGTCGGGAAGACGTTTTCTATCGTTTTCTGAGAAGCTGAAGTGTTGAAAAAGTGTGTGAAGCTTGGAAGCACTAAGCAATTATAATGCCTCAATTTAGATGATTGAGTCATGTGTTCACATGTTTTCTGATTGGCGGGTCGGGTTGACTCCCGGACACCCAGAAAAACGGCGGACATGACAGACGCCACCCTTTTTGCTGGATTATTTTTTTCGTGACAGCTGATAGACATTCGTATAGACATTATATATCACTTGCGCTTGCCCTCTCAGTATCGAAATGATGTTAAATCTACAGTTGGCCGATGTCTCTTCAATGTAATAAATGCTGTCTGTAAGAGTATCTAAGAGTCTAAACATGTCTAAACACTTGATATTCTGGATGTTCTGCTTGACCCGGAGCTCACTTGAACCCCCCCTGAGCAAGTGAGTATTTCCAGCTCAAACGCCAGCCCAGCCAGCAGCCCATTATCATAACTCATATCCTTTAATAACCTTCACTAGATCCACTCGAGTATCACACAACAACACGCCAGTTCAAGTGTTAGCCATTTGTTCCAAGTTGTGCAACATTTGAAGCCCCCAACTGTTGTGTCCCCTGTTTAAAGCGGCTTTGGAGCACCCGCCAATCTCCAGAGAAGGCTCTGAAAGGAGATCAGATCGCATTGATGATCGAGAAGGTCCCTACTACCTACAGTAGACCTGTTTACACTCAATTTCCATGTATTGCACACATTGGGTTGGTTTTAAGATGTTTTCAGGGTCAATGTAGGGTAGTTATAAGGTCAATATAGGTCAATATTCCATGGATTGTTGGGGTTCTCTTTCTACCCGTTGCCGATGTTGTGCCTTGGAAACTTTGGCTTCTTCTCGAGTTCCAGCTGATGTGAAGAAGCTAAGCACTTGGCTTCCCAAAGAACGTACCATAATGTTGCATCCTGATTAGTAAATAGGTCCTCTATAATGCTAAATTTTTCCAAATTTATTTAGACCCCCCTGTTTGAAAAATGGTACCTCTATAATGCATTTTTTTTTTGCCCTAAATTTTTAAATTGGAAGCCCAATTAATAAGGGTTTGAATTCCTTCTGAGGCCAATGATTATGATTCATTAGCTGATATAGCTTTCTCTAGGTTTCTTCAAAACTGATAGCTGACCAAAACCACCAATTCCCCAATTAAACCCTTTATAAACCATTGCTCCTAAACAAATTTTCAAGGTAGTAGACCAGGAAGGCACCTGATCCTCAATAATAAATTTGTTTTTGGGTTCTCAATTGTGAAAAGTTTTTTCCACTGGAAAAAATGCGCATGGAATCTCCCTTTACTTAGCTCCTGAGGCCAATGATTATGATTCATTAGCTGATCTGGCTTTCTCTAGGTTTCTTCAAAACTGACAGCTGACCAAAACCACCAATTCCCCAATTAAACCCTTTATAAAACATTGTTCCTAAACAAATGTTCAAGGTAGTAGACCAGGAAGGCACCTGATCCTCAATAATAAATGTGTTTTTGGGTCCTCAATTGTGAAAAGTGTTTTTCACTGGAAAAATTGCTCATGGAATCTTCCTTTACTTAGGAAGCCATGGAAGCTGAGGAAGAAGCTGAAAGCTTGGGGCTTCTCTTGAGCTCAAGATCTGAGGCTGCAAATCAAAAGGATTGCTGAGAACAATTACAAAGCACCTGAGAAAGGAAGCTGAATACAATCTATGAAAGGAAAATGAATACTACAATCAATTACAAAAAGGAATTCTCACAGGAATCCAGATTTGTTTTGGTGATACTTTATTATAGAGGACCTCCTGTCTGTTTGAGGGGAGGCGGGGGGGGCCCCCTTTACTAATCAGGCGCCAACATTATGCTGGGAGACGTACCGTATGCTGGGCCGCCACACTAATCCGATGATCCAGCAGTATTGTTCTGCATCGCCACACTCATTCGCGTGCTTTCAACGGCTGAAAGGGCTACGGAATCGCCGAATCAGAAGGATTTCATCGGACCGTGACAAGGCATTGTTCATTGGACCGTGCATTGGTAGATCGAGGAAGATGTGAATAACAAAACAATATTCTAATATGATGGTGTTTGAAGACAGCTACACCTGCTTTTCAGCTTCTGAAATGTGTCCCCTCCCCTCTGTCGGCCCATAACTTAAAAATGGTTTTCCCCACCCATCCTTCACCACTCAAGTGGGCAGTTCACGCGGTTTCTTTTCCGAGTGGGAGACAGTTGATCTCCCATGGCAGAAATAGAGAAGTTGCCAGTGGAGTTGTTCGACAGACTGTCCCCTCACCAGAGCCCCCCCTCAAACCATCACAGTCCCATGGGTTAAAATTTAGGTTGTATGTAGTGTTGTTAGAACATACACTGCCTCACTTTGAGCACTGCAGCTTGGGTTTGATGTCTGGTGTTTTCAGAGCCAAATCCACTCGGAGTCTTTGGCAGTTCTATACTATTTGAGATTGGCGACCCAGCTAGTCAGCTCGGTAGATGAGGGTAAGACTTGGAGAATGATCGCATCCCGCACCTGCAAGGGTGCATTACCTTGCAAAACAAAGCACATACACAAAGCCCCGACCTATGATTGATAGATGTAGATTAGATTTAGATAAACACATATTAACAGCTAACATATATATATAAATTAAAATATTGCAAAAAGACAAACAATTGCTTTAAACTTGTGAATTTAACTTAAATAACTCTGGGTACCACTCACTGCTCATCCAGGCCAGCCCAAGCTGAAGTGCCTGAGAAGATGTCCGGGGCCAGGCAAACTGGATTGTGCTTTCCAACGGCGATTTCGGGACAACCTAGTGAGGAGGGGATGGCGACATGTTCTTGTGGGAATGAGCTAACAAACAGGCCCTAATGAAACAGACGAGTGACACGAGTGACGGCTCTCGTGATGAATGAGTTGTTGGCCCGCACGGCGGTGATATGTGATGCACTGCAGCTTGAAGAAGACACTATAGCTTAAAACGGAGCAATACATGTTCAGGATGGTATGTCTTCGAATGCGTGGACACCCCCTTGCTTCCACACTTGCCAAAGTGTTCAAGTGTCGGGGGGTTCTTTGATATTTGTTGCAACAAAAGACAACCAAAGTTCCGTGATGCAAGCGCTGGCATGTCAAAGGTGTTGCTGCAGCAACTAGAGATCATGCAGCAACTGGGGGTGGAGACCTAGTAGTCGCGCCCCATTAGTTACGTTTCCTTTCAATGAGACAACGACCCCTGCGGATCAGCTGGAGCCATGGCAATCGACCACGCCATGGGCGCTGAAGCTGGTGGACCGGCGCTGGTTGGGGTGTGGAGCTGGGGAAATGGGCGCACTTACCCCCACATTGGAAACAAGTGCATCGCTACTAGTAAACAAGTGCATTTACGACTAGTAGCTTCTTAGCTACTAGTCGTAAATGCACTTGTTACTAGTAGCGGTGCACATGTTTTATTCAATGCTAGCTTTGACAGAGTGAACATCTCAAGCACTAGTGGATCCCAGTGGTGTTGCTTTGTTTTGAGCCTTACCTTCAGAAGTGTGCATGTTCAACTCGGTTCTTGAGGTTGCAAAACATCACCCATTGGGAGTCTCTTTCTTTCGTCCCTTTATTTACTGTAGGGGATTAAGTTTATGGGTGAACGCCATCGGGCGACTTTTGGGTTAGCTGTTTGATGCTGTTTGTATGTATTTGTCTTTTAATTTGGAAGTCATTTTTGTTGGTGCCTTTTGAGACCTCCTTCTAAGATGTGTTGGTGGCATGCATTCTTGTTTGGGCATCCATCATGTGTCACTTGGGAGTGTTAATCGCCAGCATATACACATGGATCCAGGCAAGCTTTGCAGTCCGGAATAGCCCTCAAGCCAACAGATGCCAGTGACCACTCTCTCTCTCTCTCTCTCTTCCAAGAAGGAGCCGATACCAAGATTCACGGGAGTTGGGTGGTGAATGGAGGTCCCAGAATTCGGGGCGATTGACACTCCATGGCCACAAAACCCCTTTGAAACCGGAGTCCTCCTTTTGGGACCGTGAAAAACACTGAAAACACCGGTGGAGTTTGGAGTCCAGCAACCTAGACGAGCGGTACTCTTTAAAGGGTGTGACCCAATAGCCGCTAGCTCCTGCAACAAAAAAGAAACAACACACGGTCAGTCACGGTCAGTCTGAGGATCCAGCGAGGCCACGGTCAGTCACCGATGCGGCCATTGCGGTGAGGACTTCGCTTCTCGCCGCTCGGTGCGCGGTGTCGACGAGCCCGGTCCGGGCCGCTCGTGCTGTGCCTCTTGCGATGCATTTCAAAGTGCTGAGGAAATGCACTCTTCAAGCACTTGGCGGCCAAGTGTGATCCGCTGGCGGCCAAAGTGAAGGAAGGGAAGGAGACGAGCTTCGCGTGATGAGCAAGGGAGTTGGACAGTCGATATTCCAGGGGGTGGTGCAAGGTTCCTTCAGCCACTTGTAAAGCCAATAGATGCCAATACAATGTGATTAGGCGTATATATTAACATAGACATATACTATAGTTATTTACATATATATTATTTATGTGTTTTTTGACTTTCAAGCTATCCGAGGTCTTATTTATGTTTCCTGGACACAACACAAATATCAACAGGAATTAGTGTGGTAAACGTGCATAGGTGATCGAGATAAGACGCGTCTCACCCATGTCATGCAGAGATATGGCCACCACAATCGCGGATCTCCGCAGCTCAAGATATGGATTGAACTCCAACTCCAAAGCCTGCCGCCCAAAAAAAACAAGGGACTGTGCATCAACCAGGAGTTCCAATGGGATTGCTATTCCAGGGTAATTAGTTATCACTCACAAGATACTGGTAGCTCTTTGAGAGACACTTTAAGGGCTTGAACTGGTGGTCAAGTGGTGAAGGAGATGTCAGATCTGAATTGGTGCACCCATGTCGAACTCACATCAGTAGCATTCTTATTGGTCCGGACTTGGGGGAACATCACTGCCATGAAGAGGCTTCTTTGCATCGTGGTGGGGCGTTGGATCGTCAACGAGGGCAGAGATTCACGATTCCACTGCCCGGAGAGGCCACTTCGGACACTGCGCAGGTCTTAGTGAGGAATCGAGGGGGCATAAGTTAAGCCGTGCCCGGGGGATGGACCCTTGCAAGGTGAAAAGGAGTAGTGGCTCGTGGTCCTAATTAAACCTTCACCACAAGACCGAAAGTCCCAATGAAAACAGGAGAACCGACTCAGACGGGCCGGCGACAAACGGAGTACGTTGTGTTTTGTGATGTTCTGTGTCTTTTGCTCTTGGTTTTGTGTGGCGATGCTCCCGCCCCTTTCTGTCGCAGGAGCGAATCCTTTTCACCTTGGGCTATCTAGGCGGGTTTGTGCTTTGTGCTCGTGTGGACGATGCCCTCACATCCGTGGGCCCGGGGTGTCAGACGCCTGCCCTACATCCATGGGATGTCCATGGAATACCCTTCGGAACGAAGAAACAGAAAGGTGTGCAGCACTGCTTTTCAGGTGGCAAAACGTGGTTTCCACGACGGGCTGTCCATGTCTTCTTGGCTGCCAATCTCCATGAGGAATTGAGCAGATGATGGAATTCCCCTAGTTTGGTGGACGCCGTGTAACATTCTTTAATAATAGCGTTTGCTGGTCGAGAAAGGGCTCCACATCTGGTTTTGTCTTGGGCATCCTTCTTGGGTGGCTTGGTTAGAGAGTGAAGCAGTTTGATACATTTTGGGTGAACGTGTCTATGTGTGTTAGGATATGGGCTAATGAAACAGCGGCAGAAGTTCTTGTTTTCAACAGTTTGTGCTTTCCATTGCTCCACCATCTTCGCGCCGGACGGACAGGCTCCAGGTACCGTTGCAGTGCGCTGCAGAACGAGCGCGATGAAGAGGAGAGGAAGGGGTGCTGTGGCGCGATGATGGGGCACCCCAAGGTGTGCATTGGTTTGTACAACACGTGCACTGTGAATCTCTGGGATTTTGTTGTAACAATGTGGAACATCCGGTACCTCTTCCGATAGATGTTTCAATCAAACTGATGGGTCTTCCTTGTTTCACTTCTCGTGTATGTTTCCCTACCTTCCAAGACTATAAACAAATCACCACGAGCGATTGTGTCTCACCACGAGGGAGCCAATGATGTGCGCCCAGCCAACATTGCCAATAGGCTCTAGAAGTGACACAGGATCCGGGTGTTGTGAGGTCCAGGGCTTGTTGACACCAAAGCGTCATAAACCCGCTCGGGGCGGGCTCCTAAAGAAGGGGTGCCTATTGATAGCCTTCTGAGAGGTGTGAGAGGTGTCCATTAATATATACCGACTGTGGGTCCTGGTTGGTATCCTGTGATCCCAAGTACCAGAGCTCTCAAGATCGGTCCTAGTTTGTGTGGTTTCGCAGATTCGCAGCGAGCCGGAGTGAACGGGGTCGTTGGGGCGGTCGCATTTCGACACATGTCGGTCGCATCATGAAAGATGTGGGTCGCAGACGCAGAATGGGAATGGGTCTAAGGGTTCCTATGATGTTCCTATATGCCCAGTAGATTCGGTACAATAGCAAATTCCAAGCCATGCATTCTCACTTGGGAGCAAGTGAGTTGATCATTGGCACCCCATGGCACCCCCTCCCGGCCAAAGTAACCGACCACCCCAACATTGTCGACGCAGATGTTCTGCTGCCCCAAGAATCCGGGCCTTCAAATTTTCAAAGGGCTTTGAGGGTCCTGATTCCTGCGAAGGTGTCGAGTCCAAGGATTCTTAAAGTGGATCAACAACACGAACCGCTGTGAGGCCATGAACAGTGTGGAGGGTGCGCTACTCTCCGCCTTGCCCGCGGCGGGTGGCCCGAGCCGCCCGAATGTCCTGGGGGTAGCCCGCGCGGTGCGTACCGATCGAGGCGAGGGTTCCGTTGGGCCGGAAGGGCGCGGGGCGAAGTGAGCACCTTGGACTGCGCAGGGCACGGAGCAGTCTTTGAGTCTTCCTGTTGGGAACCAGACCGGAGAGGTGGGGGTGGGTTGTTCAGGAGGGTTTGACTACCTTCTGAAGATGAGGTTAACAACCCTATCAGGCTTAAGAAGCAGAGCAACTGCGACACGACAACTGACAATTGTGGGCTGCTGGAATTCATCATCTTCTTTGTGCAAGATGCAAAAGAGACCCCATAACCAGGACCCATGGTCGAATGGACACCATTGGACACCCCGTAACCATCCATAATCATCCTTAAATTCACCTCTTTTTGGGGCCAAAAGAAATGGACACCTGACATGTGTTTGATGATCGCCATTGCACCGGACCACCAAACCGATCCTCGTCCTCGCCGGGCTCGGGCCATCGACGTCAGGGTGCCATGCGGCGGAGAGCGCCATCCTGCTCACCCTTCGGCCCTGTGTGCTGAACTCCGAGGAGCCCCATCGGTCCGACGGGGCGCCCCACTGACGCGACTGACGGCATCGGAGCAAGTGATTTCAATGCCCAAACAGTTTGGCTTGTAGATGTTCTGGCTGGTAGAAACAATCCAAAACGATCCTACCATAGATATACAATAACTTGCCCACCCCTATCAACCACTGCAACTCAAGGGCCAAGGGATCTTTGTCCAACCAGCCGGTCGATGCTCCTCGCGACGACTACTCGATGCTCCTCGCCTCCTCGCTCCTAGGAGCTCCGCCGAGCGCTGAGAAGCTCGGAGGTTCGTTTGCTGGGCCCTCCGCGCTCGCTGACGCTCATGGAGAAGCCGGAGGCGCAGTTCAGTTCAACGGCTCGGCGCGTTTAGCCGTGCTCTTGACATCATGTTAAACAACTACAGGTTACAAACATATATTTTATAGTAGATTAGAGTAAGTACGTTACTCCATGTCATAATCATCCACGTTATTATGTTACACATCTATGTTACTCTCCCACGAACACATCACATGGACGTGGAGTTCACCCCCTGTTTGAGCAAGGACGGGTTTTCCGGGATCCAACACACCACCAGTCATGCTTAGAGCCAGGGCCTGCAGCGTCCCAAATCTCCCTTGACAGCGGGACAATGACTGAACAACTGTTCCTGAGCCCATTACGTGCCAGTTTACCCTGAAGTTTGCCTGGCAAGAGGTGGCACTTTGTCAGCGATTGCAATCTGTGCGATTAACATCGGCCAAGTAAAGCTGGCTCCCCCCTGTCTACTGCTTTCGTTGCTCAACTGCCAATTTCACTGGTTAGTTAATCAACACTTCAAGCCTCGTTCCGGCTCGTCGACCTGGTCTTTCGCCCGTCTCGACTCGTACCGCACTTTGCGACATGTCAACAACCCGGCAAAAGGCGCCGGCCTTCGCTCGCTGTTTCGGGTGTTTCAATGGCCGTATCATGATAGATCGAGGGTTCCATGGCATTTTAGACACCATATTTGACCATATCCTGGTGTGTTGATCTTCCAACTGAACCGATTCGCTATGTATTTGATTAGTTGCAGACGCAGATTCCCACTTTTAAGCATTGCGAGAACCCTCAGCCCGCTTCTTTGAAGATCACTTTTACCTTCGGGGGGCCAAGCGCGGGATGGCAGGCGAATATTTTCGGCAAAATCTATGCGCCCAGGCCTTTTGCAATCTTGGTCCCTTACAGAAGTGAGTGCAAGACCTCCGCGTTGAAGAATAGGAGCAGAAGGAGACTCATAGGCCACCATAGGGATTGAGATGATACTCTTGGCTGTTTCTGAAGGTATCGCATGTTACATGCATTAATATGGATGGAAACAGTTGCTGTTGGAACAACATGCTTGCATTGCGGCATGTTTCTGAACGTAGTTCATGTATGTTCATGTTGCATGGGCCTATTGTTTTGTATATAGTTGTATTCATGCAATCTCAAACACACAGTAAAGCCCGGATGTTGAAGAAGACAAAGCGTTGCCAATCATCTTCCAGCTTAGTTCTGCAACATGCATACCACTTCAGTTGAGACAAAATCATATGGTGGGCAATACAGATCCCAACCCCTGACCGTTACCTAAGAAAGACATGTCGGGATTTGCTTGAGGTAAGATGCTGGCAATCCCTGGAGTGTTGACAACTGCCCACAACTTAGGCATTAAAAGTAGAATATGCATGAACATACAGCCACTCTGTATGTGTTTACTTGAGCTTGACACTGAAAACACAGCCATGGTTCATTGTTCCTGAGTGCTGGATCTCGGTGCCCAAACCTTTGATTCCTTGGAGTCAGCTTCACCTATCTTCCACTCTTCCACCTCTCCTCCACCCCTCATCTCGCGCCGGGAGGCGTAAGAGCTTCACGGTTCACATCCCCTACTTCGCCTTGATCACCTCCTCCGAGCACGAACGTTGGTCCACTTCCGACCCTGCCACTGGAGACTTGGGAGCCGAAAAAAAGCTTCGGCAAAGAAGGAGCGGTCGGCAGGGTCCAAGATGCAAAGAAATACCGACCTCTGAGGTTTGGGGGAGGTTGTTTTCGAGGTCGTTTCTTCCTTCAAGGAACACCCCTGGCCCCTGGAACTGGAAGACTTTGCTCCTCAACTCATTTGGGCTATGACTGTGTTTTCGTTCAAGGGTTCAGCTGATGCTGTTGGTGTTTTTCTTTAAAACATCCCCGGCGCCGTCTCCGTGCAACCCGCCGTCGTCCGTCGTCACCGTCGTCCGTCGTTTTCGCAACTGGAGAAATGGACGAAGAAGCTGTCAGCATGCTGACACCTACAGAGGTTAATAAAGTGACCTGAACTAGGACAGTAACCTGGGGTACCTATAGGAGAGTTTATATTTATAGGTTTCTTCAACCTTTGCTGGCAACTTCTTGTTTCATGTGTTAAGCAAGTATCAACGATGTGCTTTTAGATATTGGAGTTGAATTGAAACGACCCTATATTGAAAACACATGCTTTTCCTCAACTTCGCACTGCACCTCAAAATGAGGAGGCGTATGGCCGCTTGGATGAACTGGGTGGTTGGCTTAGGAACGTGTGATGTGACCCTCCTTTGAAGCTGGGTTTCTTTGAGGAACAGCACTTCTGCAAGCCACTTCAGCCAGTCCCTGTTCTCTCAGCTTTGAAACCCCAAGGGTTGCGCCCTCAAACCTACGCTTTTGAGATCACCGCACTGGTACCGTGACCTTTTTGCTTTGTGATGCCTTTTGGTGTCCGTCAACACCGTCAGTACCGTTGACTGGTCGTGTTGGCCTACTGGTATGACCCGGACACACCATGCTGCCTTGCACACAACATGGTTTGTAACCTTGTTGTTTTTTAAGTAATTGAAAGACCATGCGAAAGACCTCCACTGCTCGCGTGGGTGCTTGGTCGTGTGATGCGTGCCAGGCGTGTTGGTTGTCATAGGTCCCTCCAACTGCTTTTCTTTGACCCTAAGGTGTGCTTCGCAACTGTACCATACTGCCTTTCACCAGGAAACACCTCTTGAACTTCTCGAAAAAAGTATATATCAGTAAATTCCTTTTGAATCAACTCGGAGCCCCAAAACAGAGTGGGTCCGACGTTTCCATGTGTTTCCAGTGATCACCCCACCCGTAAATCATTGCTCAGACCGCTCAGGTTTGGCCCCGTCCCAGAGGACTGTACCTCCGAGCGTGTCCATGCGATGCTGGCAGAGCAGCAGCTGGTGCCTCATGAGGTGATCCTGGAGCCCGGCCGGGGCCACGTCCAGGTCGGACGGGCGAGGAGGGTAGGGAGAAGGTGGGTGATGGTTTTGGAAGTGGCGAGGAAGGTTTTGGAAGCTTGGTGTATGTGAAAGCAGGATGTTTTTCTACTGTAATGATTTTCATGTGGTGGAAGTTCCAGGTGTTTTTTAAAGATAAGGGGGACGCCATAGGAGTGCCTACCAAAATGCACTTCTTACATATAGGTCGCAGCTGAAATGGAACGTGACACCCTGATAAAATCACCACTTTCGCACGACCTGACGGTTTGTGATCGCAAAACTCCTGCCCACCTAGGGGGTCGGTCTAGTCGACCCTAGGGGGCCGCCATATATGCCCTGTTTGTCATTCTAGATTCTAGAGTCATTCTTTGTCACGGAGTTGCACCTTTTCTCAAGATCACGCAGTCGGTTGCGCCGACAGTCGGTCAGATGATTCTGAATGCCCATGTTCTGCAACGCCCAGAGATCTTCTCCAAGACTCCAAGACGGTGTCAGATATTTCTATGTTCAACCGTTACTTCGGACGATTGAACCCACCTGAGCAATATGTTTTAAGGTTAGTTGAAACCACCAACCAGTTTGTGTTTTTCACTGTTTCTTCCCTAACCACCAACGGGCGCCCCACAGGTGAAGATGGCCGAGGGCGAGGCTCAAAAGGCCCTCGCTCGCCTTCAAGGCCTCCGTTGGCAGAACCAGCTCCTCTCCGCCGCGCCGTTGATGCTCGGCTTGTTTTGGCCCCAGGGACCGAAGAAAGACCTGCAGACCGGGACATCCAGGGTTTATATGTCACTATACAGCTCTCAACGTTAAAGCATATTGTTTCAGGGGTAGGGTGACCAATATTCAAGGTTAGATGTATTGGGCCCTTGTTGAGTATCTCAGAGTAGTGCTCGGTTGAGATCGGTTTGTGGCTACCTATAGGGAGTCAAAGAGTTGTGCCTTCTTCAGTGCCAATCGCATGTTTGACCCGGATATCATCTGAAACTATACACTATACCTATATGTCCAGTATAGGTATACAACACACGTATAAGAATCCAAAGACCAAAAAAGGTCAGGTTCGTGATCAGATGGACTCCAGCTTGAAAACACCTTCAAATCGCTGCGACCAGTTGTTCGCTCTCCCCACTCCATGATCCCCCGCTTGCCTCTGGGCACTCCACAGGAACGAGGCCTTGGCCAAGTTTGAAGTCCACCGTCGGGTGCGTCGGGCGCTGAAGGAGCTCAAGGGTGGTCCCAATGCACGCCTTTGGGCCGAAGGAAGTGGGGTGAGAGGAAGGGGAAGGGCACCGCCGGGCACGGTTTGGTTTGGAGTTTTAACGAATGTGCTGGGTGCTTCTTGGGGCTTGGTGGAGTTAAGAAGATGTCATTAGGATGAAAGCTTGCAACATGCAGTTATGAGCCTCCTCCGAGAAACCAACATAATGTATTTGCAAAAGACACACTTTCCGAAACAAATAAAACAACAACCTTCTGTTTGAGCTTTACGCACCAAGCCCCAAAAAATGCAAAAGGTATGACGGAGGTTCTTCTACCGGCGGGAAGTTCGTCTCCCAACGAGGCAAAGGGCTCCGATCCTACCACAACTTCATGTCTCCAGCGCCAGCACCGGGGGATGCCTCGGCGATGCGAGCGTTGCTGCATTGCTCGGCCATGGGTTTGCAGATGCAGCAGCGGAGAGGCGTCCGTTCGTCCTTGGGAGCGTGTGGAAGAGAACACCCGTTTGGTGGAACACCAGTCTGGCGGTTTGCAGGAGATGAGGTGGATGAACCCTGTCTTCCCTGAATCACTTTGGTTCTTGACTTTCTGTGTTCATCGTTGTGGTTTGGGTGCTAGGGTGCCAATTCATCAATCAAACCGCCCTTTTTGTCGGTGGCCTTTGAGAAGACAGAAGCATCACACAGGTTGGCTAGTTGGCGGGTTTCGTGTCAATGAATGGGTGCAAAGTAGTACTATATATATATATCCCTCAGAATCAAGAACCCTCAAAGGTGAAGGTTTTGAGGGTCCAAGGCCCTGCTATGCAGGGTCAAAACACTCCATAGGAGGGTCCAATGATGCTTAAGGATGTTTTCAATCTCGCTGTGGCCAGGGATTCGGCATGTTTTATGGACAACCAGGCTTTATGTCCTTCACCACTGTCGGTGCTGTGTACCGGTAGCTTCTGGCCATACATGGCCATACCCCGGGGGGGAGGAAGTGGATGTGGATTGAGCCAGACTATCTTGAGGGCAGAACGTGCTAGCCTCAACTGAGAAGTCACTTCTGGCCATAGAATGTTTGTTGTTGCTTTGAAGACATAGTTTTTCTGTCTCATTTCAACACCAAAATACTCCATCCCTAAACGAACTATGGGGGTCGGCACCTTAGATTGTCTACTTCTCTACCCTCAAACAAGTGTATGTCCACATGTGTTCTTTATTCAGGGCACTAGAGTTCCACAAAAAGACCACATGCTCACGCATGTTCACTGACTGCACCAGAAAGAAATGACCAAGAGCACGCAGCACGCAGCCAGTGTGTTTGACGCCGATTGCACCAGGCTGAAGGCAGGCATCTGGCCTTTCACACTTCACCGCACCAGACAGTTTTGACCTCTGAAGAGGACGATCTCACCAGGCTCGGCTAAGTCCATCTCCGTCTCACCGTCTCACCAGGCATTTGGACTTCAGAGGACTGGACCGCCGTGCACTTCTGTGCCACGGACTTCGGCCCACAGCAGGCGGGGGCTTTTTCTTCGCGGGAGTGTCGTTGACTGGGAAACCCAGTGGTCGACCGGTTTCGGGTGGTAGATCGGGTTGGAATGAGAGAGGAAGTATCAAGAATCAGCCTTTTGAGAATCAAGAAGCCTCAACTCAAAGGTGAAGGTTTTGAGAGTCCAAGCCCTGCGTTTTTAGCAGGGTGAGTCAAAACCCTTGAGAGGAGGGTCCAATGATGCTATAGGGACAAAATTGCTGCATTGTATGACCAAACTTCACGGGGTTGGGCTCATCAAAGGACTATGCCACAGACTTACTACTAACTACTTACTTTTGTAACATGGTAAGCTACTATAGTTGAGCTAAGACGCCCCAAACAGATGGCCAGTGTGGGCTTTTGAGATATTGAGGAACCGACCTTCAATCCCGTTGGGTCCATTTCCCACATTCAAGCCCCTTGGGCTCCAACTAGCTTCGTTTCGAAGCTTTGTAGTCGGTTCCTACCTTCCGAGGATCGAACACGAGTCAGGAGCGCCTTAGACCATGGGTTTAAGCGCCTTTCGGGCACTCCATGGATCTCCATGGATACACACATCAGTACGGAGGAACAAACAAAAATACGTACTCCATGGGATTTTGGACCTCTCAGATCAGGGTGTTTTCATCCGGGAGTACTCCGGGACTGGACGATCGGCTGCCGATCCAGCTCGAGCTCGGAGGTCCGGCGCATGGCTGGCGCCTTGGTGGCCACCAGCCGTGGGTCCGAAGCGATGAGCAGCTCGGCCGATGAGCAGCGAGTGAATCAGCGAAGCGCGTGGACTGGCCGGAGGAAGGAACCATGAGAAGACCATGGGAGGTGGTTCCTTCATTGGTCAAGACAAGTAATTATAGACAAGTGACAAGTGTCCTTTTTTTTGTGGGGAGGGAAAAGCCATCAATCAAGATCAATCAAGAACGCTGCAGCTACTGCAAATGTTTGACAGAGAGCGAGAGAGAGAGAGAGAGAGTTTCCCTTGCACTTGCTGCCCGACTGCAAAACAAAGATTGATTTCAGCATTTTTGTGTTGTTGTTTCATCTTTTTGCATTTGAACAGCCCATGTCGTAGATGCCTTGTTTTGTGTGAATAAGTTGCAGGGCACTTTGAGTTCAGTCTGGGGACCACGTCACCAAAGGGATTGCTTTAGGCTCGTTTTCTGCACCGAGAATGGAGGTGTCCCTGCCCTGCAAGAACGACCTTGTTGGGAACATCGTCGTTCTAGCGAGGTTTGTCTTCCATCCAAACGCAACATCCACATAGACACACACTCCACTCCTGCTTTTGCGCACACGTCCCGACCGCCCGGAGAAGCGCCGAGAAGCGCTTCGAGGCTATATCGCCCGCTGCTTTGAGCCCAGCCCGATGAACGTGCCAGCAGTGCCAGCCGAGTCTCGCAGGTCTCAGTTCGTCGTCAAGTCGAGTGGGATGTACACACCAGCGCTCGTATACTCCTCGCGCTGTGCTCGGTAACCTGCGCCGCCCGGTGCTCGGACTGCTCTCACCTTGAGATTGCAACTCCATGGACCTCCCCTGGGATCCTTTATGACATTCTTTGACCATTTGGTTCATTTTGGGGTCAGTTGTTTGGTTCATTTAGAGTGAACATATGTGAACCATGGCCGGCTTTTGGCCAAAAGGTGCATCACTGAGGTTCGTTTGTTCATACCGCCATACACTTCCGTCACCAAACGCATCACAATAATTGACCTTTCCCCCAAGAAAGACATGTTTATTTTCATTTTTATATGGAGAGAGAGAGAGAGACAGAGACCATTGGAAGCCTATACCTCAGGCCCACCCGTGTGTTTTTTCTTTGCCACCGAAACCACCGGTGGTTCTTGCCAAAAATGCGAAGTCAGTCGGTCCATTTCCTGTGCAATCTGTGCACCGACTGCGCGACCCAAGGAGACCATCTCCTTGGACTCCTTCGAGCTTGGCCCCGTGGAGACGGACTGGCGCCCCGCGGCGCAGGTGAAGTGACGCCCGGTAAGAAGAGAAGTCTTCTGAAACAGCAACGATTCAACGATCAAAGATCAGTGATCCTTGAGGGATCTTGAGGGCCTGAAGTCAAGTCCTTATCCTCCTGTCACAGTTGAAGGAGGATCATCGAAATCAAGCCAATAATACTTTCAACAGGCACCAGTCCTGGAAAACCTCGTGTGTTGTTCCCCACCGACCAGTCCTGGACCGTCGGACGTCGTGTCTTCGGTACAGGTGGATATGAAGGAAGCAGCAGCGATGAAGCAAGACATCGAGCAGCGAGTCAGGTGACTGCGGTTTGTTCATCATGGCATCAGTACATGTTCATAGGGCTCCAATGTTTTGAAGGTGTTTGGGGTGGGTGGTGTTGGGGGTCAGCTCTTATTTGTACCTTCTGAGGATGTGGTTGGAGCCCGAAAGGGATACTAGACATGGGCTTAGTTAGGCAACGTTAGGCATTATGCCAAAATCCTTAGAGCACAAGTACGGATCAATTCCGCTTGATCGGACAGCGAAGCAACATGTTTAGACCCCGATGTTGGACTTGGGGTGGATTGAAGAACCACCTGCGTTTGCTTCGCTGTTTGTTCTGTCGAGATTGCTTTCTGAGCAAACAGATCCTCTTGGAGAATATTGGAGAACTAGAATCCGGATCTAGTGAATCTAGTTGTCTTAAGCCGCTGTTCTGGAGAGTTGGTCAAAAAGCCTGTCTTGCAGGACTGAAGCTCTTGAGCCCTGGAAGGAGCCGCTTTTTGTCCAAAAAGCACCCAATATTCTGCGATGGGTGGGAAGGTGGTGTGGCACTGGGATTGGCAGTGAAGGATTCCGCAATCATGGGCAACGGTCGGACTGTATACATATTCTTATATGCATAGATTCTTTGTTCAGTAAAAGTTCCTACCAGGTTCTTCAAAGTGACCTTTTTGTTTTTTACTATGTTTAAGTGGTCACTTAGCCCAAAACGAAAAAAAGGTCACTTATAGGAACCTGGAAACAGTCACTTAGGGTACAATGTGGTCACTTGTGTTTGTGATATAGTCACTTTGGTTCATGACATGGTATGTCAAGACACTTGTTGCCCAACCCTCTTCTCCCTCCCATCTTTCCATCCCGCGCTGCTGGGCTGGACTTTGCCATCGATGAGGCTCGGTGTCCGGATGGGAAGTCGCTGACGACTGGTTATATGGTGTTAACAGGTTGGTACATCGTATTCTATCAACCTTTTCGCACTTCCAACTGACGGAGCCATCTGCAACATGCGTAAGAGGCATAGCGCAATAGCACTTGCCTTCCTAGCAAATGGGGCCGTGCCATCATTGCAAAGGACTTCACCTTACCGACCTTAGATGTAGGATCCACGGAATGTTCCGCCCTACGTTGGTTGCAAACAGCACTGCGCAACACTTATAACATACTAGCTAAACGCAACCCGCTGGCCATGTCTTCGTCCCCGTATGTACTTGTCCAAAGCGGTGAAAGAACTGGGGCACAATCTAAGCATATGTGGTCCAGCCTTGACAACAGGTTCTACACGCAAGCCTTCTCAAGCATAGAAACCAAACGGGGGTGATCCAAGAAACTTGTGCAGCTTTGGCCTGATTTTCCAACGCAGGACTCCAGCTTCAATTGCCTCTTGGGCAAGCCCTCAACGCTCGGAGCCAGGCACACTATTTATTTCGCACCCACACTAGACATATGCATCGCTGGAGAAACTGAACAATCAAGAAACACTCGAGTTTGTCGCTAGCAAATCACCAGCCAAGATGCAGTTGATGGAGCTATGGAACAGATAATTTGCAGTCTTAAGCTTTTCGATGGCGTGCGAAGGTAGGATTGGTCCATGCGACAAGGACACAGATTCGCGGATAGCAACAGCGTTAATGAAAACGGCTGCTCGGAGCCTTACATGAAGAAACATATCACAGGCGCGCGCAAGTATGAAGCTCAGGCCACTGCACACATGCATACTGAAGGCTGCAGATAAGCAACTGTGCGTGTTCATCATTTGGGTTGCTTGCAGCTATCGCCACTGTAATTCCCATCAGCCATCTCGCAAGAATCACTGACTCCTGAGGTAAGCTGGGTTACAAACCAAACCAGCACATTTGAACGCACGCACTGCACACAACAGCTAAGGCCAGTTCAGACCCATTGAAATGCTTTTGCGCCAAAGATGGGAAAGATTTCTTGCTTCCAATTAATTGTTTCCTCAGAACCACGAGGAAGAAAGACACCGCGCAGCCCATCATCATCAGATGTACATTGTACATGCATAACGTACATGCATGATGCATCACGATGCCGGAAAGGTTCAAGCTGAATACCTGCCCCCCTGTTTCCTTAGCTAGTGTGTAGTCTATGTTGCCAATACCATGCGACTACAGAAAACTCGCATGCACTGCCCACATCTAAAAGCTGCTGAAACTCTGATTTTGTATTGTCGGCACAACTTTGTGAACTGAACATGCGCATTGCGCAGACGGTCATCAACACAGTCACCAGGCCACACA